GTAGACAGGCTGTAGCTGTGGGTGTAGACAGGCTGTAGCTGGGCTGTGGGAAGGCATCTGTCTCCTGGCAGAGCAGCATGGGACTCTGAAAGGAGAGCAGAGCATCTTCTGTTGTCCCCACCACTGAGGTATTCTGGGAGAGCCAACAGCACCTAGCACATTGTTTCATGTGTGCTTAGGTATCTGCACGCTCAGGGCCCGCCTTCACCCAGGATCTGTACTAAGGACAGAGACTGTATGTTCTTCTCATTTGTGTCTTTTAGATTCACACAATGCCTGGTTCTCTGTTGGTACTTCTTCTGTCCTCGAAGACTGAGTGACTAACCAGTGGATAAGCCTGCCAACAGCAGCTCCAGGTGGCTTTGTGTGCGACTTGACTTGGTAGGTGTTGCTGATGTTCTGTTGTTGGCTACAGTTCCATGGATCACACGTTCCCAAGCAGGGGATGTGAGGGAGACCTTAGAGACAGTACACTAGGTCCGCTCTGGTGGGGCAGACCTGCCGAAGTCATCTCATACAGCTTCCTCCTTGTCCACATGAGGATACTCTGGTCTTGGGAGGCAGAGGGACTTCTCAAATCCAGTTCCTTTCTCACCTGACATTCTGGTTCTTGAGGGCCTGCAGACCCAGCTAGAGAGACCAAAGTCCTCATTCTCCATCCATCAGAAGAGTCTTGTGGGAGTCAAGGCTGGCCACAAACAATAACCTTCAGATGTATTCTTGCTATCTTTGGGCCAGAAGTGTTTTTCATTAGCGATGCCCAGAAATGTCACCAGTTCTTAGCTCTCACCTCTCAGTGTCTTCTATTAGCAGATCTGCTACTCTCTGGCCTCTAGGGCCAATGATGTCGCATAAAGCTTCAGGGTATCTGAGGGACAACGCCATTCACAAGTTGATTATCACATCATCTTTAGTTGATTGTGTTTCTGTCATTATTATTACTAGCTTATATTTTCATAACACTTTATGGCTCACCAAGGACAATGCTATATGTGATCTCATTTGATGAGATAGCATATGATAAACATCAATGCTGTTGATAAAAATTGGGGTTCAAAGAGGGAATGCAAGAAGTTCAAGTGTTGACAGGGTAGAGCTGAGACACAAGGGGGACATTTCTTTCATATTATTTAATTTTATTTTACTGTGTTTACTCTGCTAAAGTTGTTTAACTTTAAAGATGAGTGAGTCTCATATCGTACTCTCCTGATAAGATGCATTCACTCTCCCACATCCTGGTTCCCAGTGAGAAATGCCACCTTGACAACTAAGGCACTAAGTGCTTTGGGGACAAGGTCCTTCTGTGGCCCAAGAGAAGACTGTTGGGAAAGATGTTCATGGAAAATTCCAGGAAGGGAGAGAGCTGAAAGACACAATAATAAAAGCTTTTAGTGCACAGGTTATGTGCCACAAAGGGTGCCTACAGAATGACATTTAGGATTCAAAAGACTTTCTGATCAAGTAAATGAACACTTGTGCCTAAGAGTCTTGGGGCTGGTAGGAGGTAGCAGATGTCTGAGAAGCTGACTTATGCCTCGTGCATGGGTTGTGTTGTGTTCAGATAGGCTCGCATTGCTCCCTCGGCTAGTTTGACGGCAGCTAGTTCATGTACAGTACCTGACTTAGCTTCCTTTCACCTTTCTTTCATTCTGTTCCACTTCTTTCTTACTGAAATTATTTAGTGAGTATACACTATGTTCCAAGTATTTTCTGGAATTTACTAATGCACCATAAATCTATAACTCTCTGGTGCCTAAAGTTTGGTCCAGAATCCAAGTTCTGTCTTCATCAGAAGATTGTGGGTCACTGGCGTGTTCCAGTGTATTATAGGAAATGACAGCGGTTCAGAAAGTTCATCCACAGGGAATTCACACAGTAACCTCCTTAAAAGAGTAGTAACCGAGCCACCAAATTAGAGACCCACTTCCTGTTCACTTTAGGCACCTGTCTGAAGTATGTGGGGGAGGGAGCAGATTCACCAAGAAGATTCGTCATTCAGGTTTTAATTTTCCCATAAGACTTCCCTTAATCTCCCTGGCCCTCAATGGATAGACAGGATACTCTGTTAGAACCTGTGAGGTTCCATTTTACATCACACCCTAGACTCCCTCCATTCTGATGTGATCAGTGAGGTAGGCAGTTAAGAGTGTTGTGGCTGGACCACCTGTTCAGACATCTTGAGCCAATCTCTTGATAAGGAGAGATGACTGAGATACTTGATGGACTCCAGGTGACCTGGGAAGTCTAATAATAGCTCAAGCTGGACTGATGTCACCTAATTTACCCAGTAAGGAATTCAACTCCTGGTGTTTCTCTGGCATCCCTGGGTGACCAAGGCAACATGCTGAGAAGTGACTTCAGTCACAATTTCCAACTGAATCAGGCTGAGTCAAGGTCAGAACCTGCTGTACCACAGCCACACTGGCCCCATGTGGGCCTCCTCCCTCTGTGACAATGACGACAAGCTCTCATTCTTCCCCTGCTTCTTTCTTCATCCGAGAACTATCTGCTGAATGTCATGAGCTGTGTTTGGGCTTGAGGGTGCTGTGATGAATAACTTGAGGCAGCTCTCCTTAGCAGAGCCGAGGTTAGACCTTCAGAAGGTCTCCCCGAGTTTTAACGGGATGCTGAGCCACGTGGAAGGAACAAGGTTGCCATCCTAAGCCTGGGAGGATCTAAATTCAACGGACAGGCTCACAGAGCATGACAGACATTGTTTCTCTATGGCACACTCTGTGTAGTAGTAGTGGTGGGGTCTGCCTGGGCAGGTTTTCTAGACAGTCCTTGGCAGGAGCCTAAAGAACATATTAAGAAGGCAAGGTTATCCCTAAGGTGTGGGTGCATCTGGGCGCATTTAGGGTTGGGAAAAAAAATTGAACAAGCCTTAAGACCTACATAGTACAGATACTGTAAGGGTAGGGGATTCTTCGAAGATGTTAAATCATTAAGAACATGGGTACTATTTGAAGGAATTTGAATTTTATTTTCCTTTGGACAAGCATGGAAGCCTTTAAAAGTTTCAGGTATGCTCAGGCTCCTAATTCTTTAGAAAGATGGAAAGAATGTAGAGAAAAGAGGGAGTAGGGATGAGAGGAAAAAATCCCTCTGTATCATCAGATGTGGGGATGAGGAACAAGGAGAAGCTAAGAGGGCTCCTTTCCTTGAGTCTTGGGAACACTTACTGAGAGAGTTGAGGCAGTTTGCAAGAGGCACTGGTCATATTGTACGCAATGACTGCAGTAAGCAGTTGGCTCCAGCCATAGCATGTCCTTTCTGTAGCCATCCTTTTAACCATCTACCTTACTGACCATTTCAGAATTGAGGGAGCCTGAGGGTATGGCCTGAAGTTGGAACCTTGCAGTATTTAACAACTTGTTTGCTCAACCCAGCTGAGAATCAGTGGAGTGGTTGATATCATCAGATGGTTGGGTAAAGGATAGGGACCTGGGAGGAAAGGGAAGATCATCACATGGCAACAAGGGGATGTTTTAGTAAGACATTAAAATGATGAGGAAGATTTATGGTTGATCGGGCAAATGTTTGTGTTTTTGTGAGTGTGTGTGTGTGTGTGTGTGTGTGTGTGTTAGAGGAAGAGTAAAGGGGAATAAAGGAAGGAAGGTCCAAACCTGAGTCCCTTGGATGGCATAGTCTGCAAACCTAGGAAAAAGACAGTTCTCCAATAACTCTACTGGATTTTGATGGAAAGAATTTGCACAAAGACAGCAGGAAATTCTCGGCCATTTCATCATTAGCCCAGAGCCTTCAGGCATCTGCGAAATTATCCAGATGCCTGCAACATGACTCAGCCACACTCTGCTTGTGCTCCAGAGGCAGAAGCATGGCTGATCAGGTCCAGGAAGTCCTGGCATGGCAGGACAGGTTCAGCCTTGAGCTGGAGTGTGCATGGTGGGCGGGGAGCATCCAATGTTGGAGGAAAAGAGGTGAGGAAAGAGCAGCTCCAACTGCAGTTGGACATCCCGGTGCTAGAATCTTTGGATATTTTTCTTTGTACCAAGCAAGAGTCACTTAGGCTCACCTTTTAAAGTCAGCAGACTCTCCACTACCTGAAGTAGAATGGTGCACAATGGGGAAGCCACTTGTCATTCATGTTCCAGCTGTTGTTTTCGAGCCTACCTCTTTCCTCCCTTTCTTTCTTTCTTTCTTTCTTTCTTTCTTTCTTTCTTTCTTTCTTTCTT